CTCAGTGTCAGTGTGTCACTGCAGACAGTGCGCTTAGTGTCAGTGTGTCACTGTCAGTAATTCACTGTTTTCACCGAAACTGCACATCCCTATGTGGATGTGGGTGTTAGTCTTTCCTTCACCCACACCCACCCACACCCAGCCACACCCCACACCCACCCACACCCACACCCACTCCACACCCCACACCCACCCACACCCACACCCCACATCCACACCCACACCCACACCCACACCTCAATATATAATTATATATTTTGGATCAAAAATACCATGGACAGTGATTTTGTCGTTGGTAGTATGATCAGCACTCACGTCTCACTATGATTCCCAGGCATAACGATGCCAGAAGTCTTTTGTTCTACATTAAGGACCTTTTTATTTTTAAGCGTTTTATTATTATTTTTTCTTGTGAACTTTGGCAATATCTCTGCTCCAGCTATCATCGAGCGAAATTTAGTATCATGCATACCAGACAATATGACTTACACTGTTTTTAAGATACTATGTCCCTCTGAAGATTGCGAATAGAAACAGACTTCCGATCGTATTGGTATAATTTTGAGCGATAACATAATAATTCACAAAAAAGGAACCTTTCTAGCGTACTTATACATACAGCTTAAAAATGAGTACAATCTATTGGAGAGATCAATCTTTAACACATAAAAACAACAAGCAAAATCGAGTGAAATTATTTCAATATTGCATGATATCGAACAACCGAGGTAATTCAAGACTGTACAATATGCTGTGTTTCAGGTGTGTAACAAAGAATAGAAGGATTTCAAAGAGAATAGCCTAAACTTGCATCGATCATTATCTTGCACAATCAAAGACAAATTATCAGAAAATTTTGGTCACGATTACAGTGTCAATTAGCAATCTTCTATATTCTTGACGTAAATGGTAAGCACATAACTCTGTTCAATTAATAATACTCTTTGATTTACAAAAAATAGACAATAGTAATTGGGAGAAAAATAATGTTCATATAGCTCCGCATTGATTCTAATAATTGGAAAGTTTCCATCTAAATAAACAATAATTCGTCAATCGATTCAAAGCATCATTTTTATTATGAGTCCCAGCCAAACGGACGAGCTACCCAAGTTTCGATCCATTTCGCGTTGCAACCGGCAGAACTGCAGCAATATCGATAGTAATCTTTTGTTTGAATTGAGTGGCATGTAGTAGCATTTTCAGCACCAGCCTTAACATATTGCAAGTATTTAGTACTCGTATCATTTTCCAACCCATAGGCATATTGCACTATAACCTAAAAAAGTTGACCTAAATAATATAATGATAAAAGAAATTCATTGTTAAGTACAAAACACATTTGACCATTTGTACGTTGTCGTCGTTCGGGATATCTCCACCAGGCATCCGTACAACTGCTATTGCCACACGTATAGCAACTAACTAGATTTTTTATTTGTGCATCTGAAAACATAAAATAGCAGTACAATAATTAAATTCTTCTGTAAAAATTGGGCTACAGTCTAGTTATTCTAGAGGATTTTCATATGCCGTAGATTTTGCATTTGAAAACTATTCTGGATGTAGTAGTATAGAACTCACTCGATATCAATTATTTGCTCTGAAACGACAGCAGAAAAGAAAAAATGTTGTAAAACCGTTCTACAATACGACATGTTAGAACACGTTAGTAGAAACAAAACAGTTTTCAGGTAGACTCTGTTGTGATGCAAGGTTAAGAACATTCACACAATTTTTTTGTAATATTTGATATTTTCTTCATAGGAGGAACTAGTGATAAAACGCCATATGCCAGAAGATACTCTTCTCAATATGTTATCATTCTGTTGTGATCCCTACGATCAAAATTAAGATGAGATTGTCTAGGCGGATTTACATGAAGGAAACAATGAGTGATACCCTCACTCCAAAAATGTTTTCTTCTTATCTAGTACCATGACTTCAATCAGAAATATCTGTCACTCAGGATTATGTTATTCTCACTTCAATTATATGGCAGAATCACGTGAAATTTCTTTTTTGTAAGGTTTAAGCAAGTACGTACCTTTCTTTTCTTGATGACCGATAAATTCCAATGTTTTGTTGACTACCGCAGCAGTTTCGTTGATAATCATTACAAACTGTTCGTCACTAGCATTCAACGCATTCATACCCTCTGCTACTAGTACATATATACTTGAGGCGCCAACCTAAACAATTACCATCAACAAGGTTAGCTATGATGTTTAACTGTTATGCTTCGCTTTTCTTCGATTACTTTTTCATTGATTTCAGTCTTGATCATTCATATCTATATTCCATTGATAATTATCGATTATGGTGCCTGACACACCGTCATATCAGAAAAACTTGGTACTATTCTCTTTACCTTGACTTCTTTTTAATAAAGTTACACTTCTTTAAAATCTATATGACTTTATCATTTCGAAATGCCTTGTTAGTGCATTAAATCATGCTACTTTTTCTTTCCGACAAAATATGTCTTTCAAAAGGTCTCGATACTATTTTTCTTTTAGAGACAAGTAAATAGGATATTTTGTTGTTTGAGTATTTACTTACTTTTGTGTCATTTGTTGTCATCATATCATGGAAGCATGAAATTCCTAAGTTATCGATCATTTCCGGCTGATAGGTCATGTTCAATGTTTGTGTTGCATTGACGGCTCCCTCCAAATAGAAGTCGCATAATTTTTTGGCTTTTTCTGTATCAATGCGTTTGTGTCTATCTTCGATTGATCGTTTTCCTCGACTGTCTGATCCTACTGATTCTGGTTCGCATTGTTCAGTGGGGCTGATACATAAGCCTTCTGATACGTAGATCAAGTAGAAGTTTAAATGAATACTGATGTCATAAAACGAAGACTAAAATAGTGTATGTAGAAATACAAGACAACTTGATGTTTCAATATGGCACAGGAACTTACGGTCGGGCTTTGACGCAGCTGTATGCGCATACCGATAGTTTTGTAAATTATATCGATCCATTTTCCTTTGCTTGACTCAACTATTGTAATATCTGCGCAACAGATTACTTGTTAAGAAAGTATAATACACAGCGAATCACTTACTAGAACTATCACATTTTCTCTGTTGATTGGTGAATGTGCACAGCTGTTCCCCGGCATGTCCGTAGAGTAAAATTTCAAACTAAAAGTATATTTGTTGAAGTCGATCATTGTACTCGAAAAATTATAGTTCTATATAAATATATTTCAATTAATTCAATTCAGGCTGATATTCAGACAATTGAAACAAACTCAATCGACAAGACACTCAATATCAACTTATATGACACCTATGAAAAGACCTAGTAAGATTTTCGGCAAATTTTCATGCATATACGAACAAGAAACCTAAAATTCAATAATTGTGTACCTTTTCATTGTACCAGAATCTTTCAGTCACATGAACCTTTATTTCAACATAGTTGTTTTTCAGGAGTAAATTTTCACCGGGTTTTTTGCACCAGTACTGAGATCTGGTCTCGCCAGGAGTTTGAGGAAAAGTAAGTAAATGTGGATCGCCATACAAGTGACAAACAGATGTTCTATTGCCGTGTACTGAAACAGACATATAAAGAACAATCTTTAGTGTAAAGACAAGAAAAAGAAGTCACTCTTACGTTGCGGGAAACGCTTTGCCGTGGAAAACCTATCTGTAAAAATAGAGCAACAATAACGTATACTTTTTAATTGCCATCAATCGTTCTAGCACCATGCACAATACAAGATCTGAGTCTTCTATCATTTCTAAGTCTACCAAAGTTTCTGAATATGAATTTGTACGTTTCACGTTTATACTTCTTCACAGCACAATTCAGGAAACATAATACGAATGTTGTTATTCTCCCTTCAAATCTCTCTGACTGTATAAATATTTCTAAACAAGTTTTTTTAGTGACTATAGTAGGATTTCACAAGTGACTCAACTCACGTATGTAATCTATGTCAACAAAGATTTAGCAAGAGACAAAAATTAAATTATTGTCATGTTTATAATAGAGGTGTACGGAATGAGGATGTAAGATGGCGCCGAAGGTTACGGTACGTGATACTGACTTTTATTGATCAAAACCATTGTTATGGCAAGAGCAGCTGCCAACAGACAAATGATGAGAGCTACCAAGCCACCTAGAAGACGCTTTTGCCAGACTAAACTCAGACGGAGATGATGGAGTTGTATTATACAGTTTTCTTCTTACCAGTTTTGACGGGTTCGATTGGAGCTAGTTGAAAAGTTTT